ACTTTACAGTTTTATTTGTTATATTATGGTTTTTTAACTAAAAAACATTTTATGAAATTAACAGAAACATTTACTTTTAAATTACTGAATTGTTTCGAACTGTTATCGGAAGTTGAAGTTAATTTATTGCTTGAAAAAATCTTATAATGACACTGAAGCCAACAGGAAAGTGGGCTATTTTACATCAAAGAGCATAGGTTTTCAACCAACCTAACAAATTTTTTTCACCCTTTATCAGCTTATATTTCTTAAGCCTCAATCAAAAAATTGAAAGAATGCATCTTCTAGAAAATACTTTAGCAACCAACTTAAACCACGCTAAGAACCTAAAAAAGTGCAATTTTTTCTCAACGTAGCTGATTTTGAAAAACTGTAATTTTTTGATATTCAAGACAGCTTCTTTCGCTGCGTTCTATTTAATGGTCTGTTTTCAGCAGATTCAGATAATTACTGAGTACTTTATACGGAAAGAATACATTGAAAATTACAGTAAAAAGAAAATTTTAAGCTTTTGTTTCTAAAAATGAAATTTTTTGAATTTTTTCTAAAGGAAATAATTTATTTTTTTGAGAGTGTACCATCTGTATGAAATATCAGAGTTACAAGTTAACTATTTGACACATTTAGAACGTACAAGAAATAAAGTAAAGCAGAATGGCAAAATTTTCTGTGTTTTTAGAGGACTTTAATTATTTTGTTGATTGGGATAACTTTTTCTGCAGTTCTGCAGTCGGTAAACTCATACGACGGAAGTCACCTCATAATACACCATAAGCTTAAAAAATTGTACCTTTTCGTTTCACTTCCTACTCTTTCACTTCCAAATCTGTTGCTGTCGCCAACCCGTAATTTTTGACCTTTTGGAACGATGATAAACTTTCAAAAAAAATTTTTTTTTCTTGAAGCACTTGAGAAACTAAATTTTTTCTATCATACTGTTCAGGAGATTATATTTTACTGTAACTTCTAGTCACTTCTTTGATGTGAAGGTATCAGTGCTGTTCTTAGTTTACAGAATAGATGCTGATAAATGAAACAAAATTTACAAGGATTTGTTTTGAAGAAAGAAAACTGTCATAATGGGGTAAAAGTGCACTTTTTTCAAAGTTTAGCTTGCTGTCATTTCACCGTCAGAACACTTCTTGAAGAAACTTTTTCGCTGTCTCCATCCTAACTCAAAGCATACATGTTTAAAACAATTTTAAAAATGCGATAAATGAAGCTGAAGAAAGCGTTAAGTTTGACGTAAAATTGTCAAACAAATTCGTTTACCAGATAATGATCAACATCGAGTGTTTTTGGCATATAAAAGAATATCTTTCTCTAAAGCACCGTATTGATCCTTTAATTTTAGTGTTAAATTTCTGCTTTGTTACTTAGAAGATCGTTTCTTCCATATCGAATATACTGTGATTTGCGGATGCTTTAGTCGTTCATTTTATTCGAAGTCACTGCAGTATTGATATCTTTTTACAATATTGTTTTTAAGTGTTTTATGTTTATTATCCTATAAATGGGTTTAAAATAGCCTAAACGATACAGTAGATTTAAATTTTAGATTGATATATTTAGATAAACGGCTAATTTGAAATTCCTGAAAAGAAAAAACTTGCGTTCTCACTTGTAAAGTTTAAAAAGGAATTTGACTAGTGTTTTTGAAATCAATCGCTAAGCTGTTTTGGTACTGGTGGCTTACTTATACTAATTGCTTAATTCATATTCAAAAATTTTTATCAACTTTCTTGTTAAATTTTTTCCACTTTGTAAGTGTTTGAGCTTTTTCAGGTAAATTGAACTCAGTTATCCTATATTTTCTCACTTGTATCTATTTCTTCCTTGATATAATTGATGAACTTAAAAATTTCGTTCTAAAATTTATGATTAGCTATTACCAGGAGTAACTTTTTTTTTCAATATTTCTTCTTTTTTTGTCATATAGTTAAAACGTTATATTTCTGCAAAGTTATCTTGCATTTATTCCTCATTTTTGTGTAAGGTTCATGGTGAGAACTAGAAAAACTTTAGAGCTTGATTTGTCGGTTGACTGATTATTAGTCAGGAATACTCAGACAGAAACTGTAAACTCTAGAAGTCATTTTGTCGATTTTTTCGCTCTCTTATCAGCAGACATCTACCATATACTTGCGAGTATTCTCGAATCAAAAACGCGTGTCTTTGAAACCTAACTTTTATTCACCATTCAGTCGTTGTAGTTGAAACTCGATGCAGCTGCATTATATTTTACTGTTTCTGTTGCCGTCAAGGACAAACAGTATCAATGACGACCTCAGATATTGTTCTAAGCGTTTTATACAAACAGTTTTTTTAAAACGAAATTTGATGTTTGCAAAACTTTTTACTGTATTAAAAGTGTCTAAAACTTACAACTTTATTTGAAACTAAAATGCTTTTTGCTGTATTTATAGCGGCTTTTATCGTAATTGTGAATTCTGATGATTTGTATTTGTAGATATTTAGAAAAAAGTAGATTTTCAGGACTTAGCTACAGTTATTGGTATTTACTGTCTTTTAAATTAATTTACAAAAATTTTAGGTTTTATTCAGCTAAACTAAAACACGAACGTTTACTTGAAACAAGGTATATAAAGAATGATTACTGACGTTGAAACGTGTAGTTGTGCATGTAAAACAAGAAAAAAAAATTAAAATTAAAAATTATACAATTAAATCAAAAAGTGGTCACTGTACAATCAATTTTACTAATATGTCTTTTTGGTTGAAAAATTATAGGTCAATCTAATAGATTTTTCTCTTGCTTTAAA